CCGAGGTGAGGGTGACGTAGAGGAGATTGTGTGAGGAAGACACGAGAGCTTGTGGGCAGTGATGGAGCCAGGTTCAAGAGATTTCAGAGAACAGATTTCACTGGAGACGTGCTACTGAATCCTTAGTTTCCATTAGGAGCACAAGGGACAAATAAAAATAATAATAGTGTCATGACTGACTGTAACAGGTTCAGTGTTATATTTTGGTCTGGATTTTCATCATACTAAACATACGTAAAATTCACATACCCTAGTGACCGAGAAAACGATAAACCAAGCTTGAAAAACAGTGAAATATTTTAAGAATGTGCGAATAAAATATGTTAAAATAAAAGTTTAATGTTTATACAATCAGACTGCTAAATATATTTGAGAAACGACAAAGGAAATGCGAAAGATTGCGTGAGTATTTGCTATAAGTTAACAGTGGAAATACAATATTTAATCGGTTTAAGATTAAATCAGTTTGTTTGAGACACTGAAGTTATGGAGATAAAGTTGGAAATGTTTCTACAATCATTTGTAAAAGTAGGGTGAAGGTACAAAAATATGAGAATGATTATCTATGATGGACGTTGGTGGCGAACAACTCCTTCCGTGTTGATTATTTACTTTAATTTGGTCTGAGTGTAAGGTTCAGCAAGCGTCAAAAGTACAGCTGTATAATGTCGACAACCATTCGGCCATATCATGCATAACGTATTCAAAGAAAATTACAGGTTGGTAATCATCATGGACTGACATCAGTTGGAGAAACACTGAAGACCTGGAAGCACGGAACAGCTGTCTCGTCCTAGTTTATGACTCAGTAGTGCGCAGCCGTTACCCCTCCGAGGGTTGAAAGTAGGACCTTCAAGTTCTGCTGTCAGCAGGTTGCCATGGAGCCACTGACTCGGAATCTGACTGTAACTTGCTGGTTGAGGAACCTGAACATCCTAGGTTCAATCCTTGGAGCAGTCATGGATGCGCACTGCTGAGTCCAGTACTAGAACAAGGTGGCTGTTCAGTGCTCCTAGGTTTCCAATGTTTCTACAACTGGTATCAGTCCATAATTAATACCAACCTGAAATAAATAAATAAATCTCCGCAAACTTCTAAATTAGATTATTCAGAAAATGTTCAGTAGATCAGGTTATAGCTTTCTCGTTTTATCTACATGCTCTAATATATACACCTGAACAGGGAAGAAAACCTTGAAGTGGAGTGAGACAGATACCTGTTGAGTTTCGACTACGATAACGAACACTTTATTTTGCATAACTAGACTAATTTAACTACTTCTCCTACTTATAGTACCTATCTATGAAAATAAGAATGGGGAGCATGGACTTGCTCTAAATTCCCGTGTTAACTCTTGAAGATATACATTTCGTTTTAGCCATTTCTTCATCAAGTAAAATTTTTTGTCCCTTAATCCGATGAGTATTATTACTTGGTCTTAATTAGAAACTAGTTTTTCTGGATCTACAGCTTATATAAAAATTCATGCTACTTCGTCGACTGTACTTCAGAATTCTAAAACCACTGACTGAATGGATGCTAGTTGATACAATTTTATCCAACTGAATAGCTGTTCTTTGATTTTCATTTTAAAGTTCAAATAAAGCGATCTTATGGCTCAGAAAATGGGTTTAATATTTGAAATAGCTTCCATACTGCTAACTTAAATCTGACTCCAAGTATTTCACTTTAGCTTCCGTAGTCATTCCTGTTGTAGCACTAATTAAGACTTACTTGACTGTCATGAAAAAATCTGTAAGGATTTAAACGACGGAATACATTAGCCTCAATATTATTATAGCTTTTAGCCCAAAGGTTGGACAGTTTGCTAAGAGAAGGAAGCAAGCTGTTCACGAGATGTTTTTCATAATCAATCCTTGTGTCATAATTACATTCATTAACAAACATTGGTTTCAGAAGTTCAGATGAAAAAACACTTTCAACCTGCCTAATCTTAACTATGTGAAGTAAGGTTTGCTGAAGTGTAATTTTTATGATTATAAAAATTGTGGCAGAAGAAACATTTGTGAAGACTTAAACCAATGCTTCATACGTTTCACTCAATGCTGGATATTGAACAAATACTTTATTTCCACATACATTTTTGTCTAATCTTGATCAAAAATTTCTTCGTCTCTATTAAATTAGATTCATGCGGATAAGAGAGTCTTTCTTGTACTTTTTTTTATTTACTTTTGGGCTTAATTCATATAGCGTGCTTTAGCTTCCAAGTATAGTGCTAAACGTATTGTATCGCAAAAGAAAATTGGCAGAACGTTCACTGCATTCATGAAGTAGGATATTATTCCAAGTATACAGGAATAGAAAATCGTTAAACGAAATAATAACGATATTTTTGACTTTAGTTTTAAAACATACTTTAAATTACTTTTTCCGTTCAAAATTTCTGTGTGCATTTCAATACATATATTGGAAAAAATGATGTTATTCGACACTGATTAAGAGTTTTTTAAGTTTGAGATTCTGAAAGGAACTATACTTTACCAGATAACATTCATCATGGACTGATATCAACTGAAGAACTATTGAATACCTGGGACGATTGGAGAGACATCCTAGTATGGGATCCCTCAACAGTAAGCTCCCCGTGAAACTTGAAGGTCATAGTTATGAATGGCTGAGGTGTCTATGCTAGAACGAAATGCCTACTCAGTGATCCCAAGTTTTTAATGGTTATCCGAATGGCGTCAATTCATGATGAATGCTACTCTGAAATAAAAAAGAATGATACACTTTAAACTTACTACTATTATTTTCAGGTGGATGGTGGCTTAAAAACGTTTTCAAAGAAAATTAACACTATAGACAAAAAAGAATATACTTCGACTGATGTCATCTAAGACTGCCATAAACCCAAATAACCACTCCAATAGGTCACGATGTGGATCTAGTACCAGTTAAATCTACTCTTGAAAATAAACATAGGTGCACGACTGAAACTTTTGACAATCTAGGGTTAAAATCTCAATTTTAAGTGAAATCTAACTACCGACAGCAAAGTTGATCCAGCTTCCAATCATTTAGTATTTGAAGATTTTCAGCTTTGAAACCCCATACTCGAACACACTTGTCCAGCCATCTGTTTTCATTCTCAAATGGACCACAGAGAATCATAATGTTTGACATACTTTTTGCCTTTGTTAACAAACTGATGTATTTTGAGTAATACTGAATAGCCGGTAGCCGTTTGCCTCCTGTTTCTATTCAAAACGTGGGTGGGTTTGAATGAAAAATCTTTCGTTGATTGTCGTCTTGAGTAGATGTTATGGAAGCAACTGTGAAAAAATGACTCTAGTCTTCGCTTTCCCTACAATTCAATGATTGTGATCATAATTGCATAAATGGGGCGTGACTCTACATTATGTTTCAACTTAACATGAGGATTTTTTGCCTCTAATATTACAAAAGCGTATTGCTCCGGATTATGCACACTACTTAAAAATATCTGTTGCTCCATCCAGTGTATACTATCGTTTAGTTTTTATTCGTAAGATAATCCCTGATTTTGAAATATCATTTATTGAGTAGTTTGAAAAGTCAGTATGCCAAGCCACCAGTCACTTGCTCCAAGTATATGAATAACATCTTATATTCTAAAAACCTGAGTACCTCCAGAAACATCTGATCTTTATTAGTGCATTTTTATCTTGAAAACATTATTATTATCAAAATATAGGAATAATATATGACTTGTTTAACCAAAGGTTGTATCACTGGAGTAGGTTCCTTTGAAAATGGCAATAATTGGGGAACAACAACTAGTTATGGCAGAATTTCACTAAGATAAAACAATCATTTCTCATGTTATCGTTCAAAGCTAAATAATCATCTGTGCTTCACGTCACTAGAAGCTGGAGTCATAAGACAAAAGTTGCAACTAAAAACATTCTTTGACTTAAGCTTAAATGGAATATTTAGTAGTAATGATTGATAGTGTCTAGCAGTGGAATCCAGGACACACGTCTCGTTCTGTTTCGGACTCGTCAGCTGCATGCACCTGTCTCTCAGTGAGTGATTTTGTTCCCTGTAAGACTGGAACCAAAGACTGATGGCTTCAAACGACACAGAGTTATTAGCTAGACTACCAAACCTTAAGAGTCACCCTCTTTACGATGAGTTTACAAGCACCAACATAAATGGAAAATTTCCTCACACCTCACGCGTCTGCAGCTGAGCAGTATACTTCAAATTCTGACAAGTAGCGGCTGTTTCATGGTATCAGCTATAACATGTGTGTTCCAAGTACCAATCTAACGCTGTTGATCAAAGAATCAAGCCTAATCACTTAGTTATTGCACTTGTTGTGTTCAGGTAATAATTCTTAAGAGGGAAGTGACATTGGTTGAGACATTAGATGAGGTGCTAACTTTCTTGGCGATTCAGATATATTTTTCCTGCAAATATCAAGTATTTGAAGATTATTTCATGGGTTCTTAGGTAACTGACATTTATCCACCTCCCAAACTATATGAAATACAATTAAAGACTAATTGAGTTGACATCAGTGCACACATAGTAACAGTAATACATGTTATGTGTTTGGAGGTGATGAGCGGAAAGCCCTGCTTAACATAGATCTCGTGGTTGTTGAAACTCATCAAGAAGGTGTGTCTGCAACCTTGACCTCTATGAGGTTAAGTCCAGAGTCAATCTGTGCTGCAGACAGCAAAGTAACCACAGGGTTAGACTTTTATTAATGGGAAATTTATGGCCGAGGAACATATAAAAAAGCTAACAGGACTACTGACAAAAAAACGTGTACCATACCCAGTATTTTCCTTTGAGCTTAGGTTTGAATGTATAAACTTCTCTTTAAGACAACTTCACTACCTCATATGGCTTGAAAGCATCATACGTGGATCCAGCATTGCATCGAATCTGGGTTATCATGCTCTTGAGTAACAATATGAACCAGTAAACCGAATAAATACCCTAATTAGTCTCTTGACTGATATTTCTTTAAAACATTTGCTTTACAGTACTGACCAATTTGAAGTGTCAAGTGGACAGCGATTGTACACACGTGATCAACAGTGCGTGCCATCCAGGTGCAGGATATTGTGCTTGCCCAGGTGGAACAATTTATGTGCCTCAGGATCATGCATGTCGTAAGTTATTACTAAATACGTTTCATGAATTTATATTCTTAATACCTTACCGAAATTTCGTTTTACTTCTTAGACATCTGCAGGACAACAGAAAAATAACTTAGTTACTCTCAGCAGCTGGTTTGATCGAAAATGCTGTCAACCTAATACTGCAATATTCCGAAAACCTTTAGCACTGTAACTTGAAACTCATGAGGAGAAAAAGTGGTTTGATTAGTAAAAAACAAGTTAATTTATTGGCATACTCAGATATTTTCATACTTGTCACAATCTACAGTTGAACCAGTTCTAATTGGATGAAAATAAGAGACTAAGGAAGTGCAGTGGTGACAAGTTTTTAGGCTAGAAGTTTGTCTATTGTAAATAAAGTTCAATCTTTTGTTCACGGTAAATACGTATCCCGTCATTTGAACGGATATTTATACATTGGTTTTCAGGAGGGGACAGAAGACACATTTAGGCTTTTTAAAACCAGGATGGTATGCAGACTCATCCCGTAGTGCGACCACACGAGTTCGAACGTATTTTACCAAAACACATTTCGCTACTGTGTGGAGATTCATACCACCCAGAAACTTACTCACAAAATGTTTCATGAAATCTGATTTAATATTTAAAATTTGGGACAGTTCCATTGTAGTCTTTCCTGCCAAACCTTATAAACGCTTCAAGGAAACACTCTGATCTTTTGGAGTTTCAAGCCATCTATTTGTTTCTTCACAATATACCTTCTCTGTTTTTGTCAGACTCGGAGTTATTGGTGGATATTGGAAAATTGATGAAAAATATTATTTAAAAGCAGTAGTGTTTTTCCTAGCTTCGCTAACTTTTTCAAAGACTGTAGCGCCTACAGACATGCGCGGTAAATCCAATTATGAAACTTTCCACTTGATAGACCTGATGTAAATGATATGCAAGATATTTTTTTAGTCGACTACACAAGTGGCTGACGCATGAAACTTCACTAGCAATAACGAAATAGATTCATGCATATAATCCGTCTGAGTTGAGTAACATCTAAGGAGTATGATAGGAAACAATGAATACTGGATTTTCTCTTTTGAACTAATCAAGCTTTCATTAGTCAGTTGAGTGTTCTAGTCAAAAATATGCATTAATGCTAAGGATGTATTTTATAGTTAAACTAAGATTGATGTGGCGATAAGATTGGAGCAATGTAGCATGATGCACACTTTCAGGAGCGACTGAACTGCTATTTCGAACACAAAAGTATGTGATTAGATGTTAATTTACATTTCTGTGTGAATGTTCAGCTAACTTTATTTTTGCATATCCGAGAACACGTTGATACTCTTTTTTACTTGAAAAACAACAGCTACATGTTGCTACTGCTAAATGAGCACATTTGTCATCGATGAATAATGTTGGTCTCTTTATTTCACTTGGAAATCTTTGTACATATCTACAAGTCTCCTTAAATCAAAGTGGATATTGATGATATGTCAAAACATATTGTTTGTTCTCTGAGTGTACCAGTCATACTTTGGTATAATTCTATCTAGTCTGAAGGTGAAATGCGTACATTAGCACACATTTATCCGCTGCTAGCACCCTAGCAGGTTTCTGTGTTTAATGTTTAATGCAATTAATAATAAAAATACTTATTTTCTATACTTTCCGCCACAGTTTATGTGCTTCTAGAAATGAATTCTTATTTTCCCTTGTTGTTATAAAACGATATTGACTACTTTTTGAGACTTTAGTTTCAAAAAGTAGAAACCTTTATTTGTAACACTTCACTTTCCGTTTCTTAAGTGAGAAGGGTCTTCCTCCTCAATTACTTGCAAGAAATAAGCGTGATACAAAGATTAAACGAAAGAAAAACCATACGAGTTATCACAAGCTCCCCTTGTCGTTTTAACTTACTACTCCAAATGGCGATTTGACTGAACCAGAAAAAGCGAAAGCAAAGTGATAGCATTAGTTTAGAAGCTGAGAAAGTACTCAAATTTTAAACTGCTCTAGTAGAGATTAGACAGCTGAACCATATACTTTCAGGTCTAACCGGAATAGGTCATTCTTTTTTGTTATCAAGGAGTGACTTATGCGTAGGTAGTATCAAGAAATCTATCCGCACTAAATAGGCCTTAATGAAATCCGGATATTTTAGTCACCATGATTCATTTTAAAGTTTCTAAAAACTGATCGTCATTTGGCAAATCAAGACACTATTGCTTAGTCACGTTTGAAAAAGGGTCTGCATTTCTATTTCTGTGTGGTTACAAGCAGCACTCACGACCAAATTTTCTCCTTTACTACATTGTGAATGCCAAGGGGAGGGGAAATAGATGTACAGAATCTCTTATACTTCTGAATACTTTAAGCATTTATATAGATAACGCGAAACGCTTTTTTTATTTCATAGCATGTACTAAGGCAATTAGTAAGTTAGGCATTTACACTGGTGTGGTGATTTCCTCAGTAAAGGTACCTGATATGAAAGAAGGAGTCCTTAGTCTTCGATTAAAGTAGGCTTTTAGTACGAGTTAAATGAGCATCTTCCTAGCATTTCTGTGATAGTAGAAACTCATCACACAAATAATGATTTATAAGAGTGGAATTTCATTTTAAGTTTAGCTTTTTTAAAACTGATATAAAAAGTGTTTTCAGGCTTCAGTTCAATTATTTGTGTGTTCATGTTAATTAATTCAAATAGGTGACTTTCATCTCATCGACCAATAAGTGAGGACTTCACACCCTGAGTTGTACTAAAACTGATGGATATTTTTATAAAATAAAAACCTTTATACCAAAAAGAAGCTTTAAATCAGTTTTCCTCAAAATGATAATGTTCTTTTTCACGAGACATACTTCATTTGATATAGTATATATTGAAGTAAACTGAATCTCGTATTCTTAGGATGTTCAGATTTGAAGAAAAGTCCAATGTTGCTACAAGGAAATGAAATCATCTTTTCTTACTGAAAAGCTATGAAACTTAACTTTTATACTATAAGTAGAACTTGCATGTCTCTTGTTTTAGGAAAAATAAATTCTAGTGCTTTGAGGTTGATGAATTTGAAGTTTTCGTGAGTTGTTTTGAAGTTTATTTCCTACCAATTTTTTGACAATGAATTTAACTGAACATCTGTCTAGTACTCCAAGGAATTAGTTAAAACCGGTCTGTTGAAGCCCTTTGATCTATATTTCTTGTCCTTAAACACACAGATCAGTGGAACCTCTCAGGAGAAACTACATTCCTTTTTTTCTTGTTCGTACTAAAAACAAGACACAGTTGAGGAAGACAAATTAATTTTTCTCCTTTGATCTCCACTAATTGCAAACAATCTGGAGTCTGAGAACTGATATACATACACTTTCTTGGAACAGCAGTTATCGAATATTAGCAATATCATCAATAACCTACACTCGGACAAAAGAATGAGGTAAACCTTTCAATGTGGCTAAAATGTGACGAGATGGTTTCGTATTAAAATAAACAGTTTTGTCAAATAAATGTATGTATGGACCAGATAAATGATTATGATAAGAGAAATGACGACTGCCACTGGGCCATGACAACAACAATAACTATCTTTCAAAGCAGTCTTTATCAGCTGGAGCACCACCAGAGAGCTGTAGGCACTGGACACCTATTTTCTACTTCTATGCAACTGTTCAGCAGTGCATGTCTACAGCCAAGTGACTCAGTGGTGACGTGTTTGCTACAAAACCTGACATTCCTGGTTTCGAACTCCAACGGTGTGTCTCCTACTGGTACAAAACCGCTTTTCAGTTCTCTCAGATTTCAAGTGGTTCTCCAACTGATTTCAGTCTGTAATGAATGCCGGTTTGATATCAAAACAAATTCAAAAATTTGCAAGGTGAATAATAATGATACACAGCAAATTAAAGCACAGAGAAAAGTTAACTTAGAATTTGATGCTTCGAAAATAATGATACATTTATTCCTTAACAAAAGTCATTCTCGACGAACCTAATGGAGGTTAACTACTTGGAGACTTGATATCTTAGCATTTCTTAGAACTACCCAAAGTATGACCCTTTTGTTGATGGTCAAGGAATCAACCGGTGAGTTCATTAGATGACCTGTGTCATTTTAACGACCTACTGAGCTGCTGGATGAAGTATACTTCCTTGACTCAAATTCATCACTATATGAGAGACAAGCATAAGTCACTTTCTGCCGATACTTGCCGTATACCCACCAGATTACATATTTGTAAGTTGGTACAAGTAGTAGTTGTACTGAAGTCTTTTTTGGTATACTTCAAGTTGTGATCAGGCGTTTTTGTAAAAGAGCGACAACTCCTTAGTATGACACCTGTAACTTCCCTGGTTATTACCCCTGTTCAGTCGTTACTTTCGTATCGTTGTCCATGCACAAATGATATGTTGACAACCGTATTCTCACGAGTTCTTTTTCTGGATAGCTCAATGTCTTTTGGTGTTTTACGGACGTTCCTTTTATTGTTTGAAACCTTATTTGTAATCATTTCAGTTGAAACCAATGAAGTGCAGATCCTGACTGGACAATGTGTATTGAAAATAGATATGCCTTTTAATTATATCATCAGAGAATGGATCAATTAAATCCGCTTAGTCACTTTTTGCTGAAAATCGGAAATACTTTGAACACGTGATGACGACTATAATAGATCAAAACTGAATTATTGTCACACCTAAGATTTTGTGTGTATTCAAAGACCACATTTCTCAGAGTAGTGCTTTACAGATGTATTGTGTAGGTAACGATCAATGGTGATCGAAAGTGATGTTTCATAGCTTTTTTGTCGAATTCGGCACACAGAACACTGCTGAACGGGCATTCGTTAATCTTTACCGCATGTGGAAGAAAGTTGACAATCCAGTCTTAAGTAGTATGAAATGCCCTACCTACTGAAGAGCACTATAAGCATGCTTTATACCAAATACATTTGTAAGTAGAGATCTCAGTTTGGACTACCATATAAACTCGAACAACTTTTAGTTTATGTAAAAAATTCATTATCTGGGAAAGAGCTTAAGATACGGAGTTACAATAAATGCGCTTCATGGCTGTCAAGATCAATAAAACGGCTCAAGTTGAAGTATAAGTAGTCAGGGGATATAAATCCTTTGTTCACGTTAACTGCAACCCTGGCTTCAGATAAATGAGATTTATGGATGATGTTTTAATTCGTCATTTGACTCCAATCATTTCCGCTGCTTAATGTACAACATTAGTTTACATTCATTGGCTATCCGTTAAACTCAATGTAAATCGTTTTGTTTACTCGTCAATTCGTAGGTGAAAAATACCCAAAAAAGAAATATACAGGATAAAGTTTTGCGCAAACTTCATGAGACACATCATCCAAATCTGAATATTTAGTGGAATGTGTTATGCTTTACCTAGACAATTTCCGTGTACACTTTACATAACTTGAGACTGTTAATAAATCATGTATACTTTAGTGGAGTTGAATTTATCAGCCCTTTGGTTTCTGTGATAATAAATATACAAAACAGGTGTTTTAAACAATGAATTAGTTTTGAGTCGTGATATATGTATCTTGATATCTGATGTAATTCAAAACTCAGTACATGATCTTATGTCTTCAATTACAAATATTATTTATTGCATGACTATCTTTTACTTTTAACAATAGTTTACAATGAAAGTAAACAGGGATTACTGAGGTTTGTTAATTTCTGTTAGTATTCATTTGTCATTGTACATTTTTGTGTACAGGGGGTTTTTTAAGAGTCAAAACCACACGATGCAGTTAAGTTTAGTTAAAATATAAGTTTATGCAGCTGTGAAGATATCGTGCAGTATGCATAGTTTAGACAGAGAAAGTATTGCATGACAGGTGAAAATTTTATCCTTTGTATAAAAAACATGTGCGATTCGACTTATAAAGACAACCTGAATTCGACTGGCTTGATTTCGGTTTATAATGAGAATAAGTCTCAATACACGCATTGCTAGAGTTTCACATCCTGTTAAATTTTTATGAGAGCATTAACTAAATGCTTGATTTTCACCAGTAGAAACTTTGTTGAACTCATGTCAGACTCAATCTGTAGATATAAACTTCTATACAACAGAGTCTAATAATGTGGTGTTGATCGATGAAAATGTAATTCATGTAAACACAGTAATCCATGAAATCGCAAAATTTGCAAGTGGTATACTTTAAAATCCATATCGTAGGGGTACGTAACTGGGTAATCAGGCAAAAGTTGTGAAATTAATGTAAAACTAACGAATGAAGTGGTTGTAACACAGTCAGTAAAATGTGTAAATTAAATACTTCCAAAAATGAGTAAATTTAGATACAGAATAAATAAACAATATTTAAATTCTTACCCAAACCCTGCCAGAATCCAAACCCAGAAACTTTAGGTTCTGAGGGAAACGCGTTAACCATTCAGCCAGTGAGTCGAAGTTCAGCAACCTACAGTTTCTTACTTCATTAAATTTTCCACTTAACATAACTGTCGTTTGTTCTTCAACTGATTTCACTTCATGATGTATACTACCTTAAAGATGAAATCCCCTAAAACCTCAAACAACAGTATTTAATTACTACGTAAATATGGGAACAATTAGAGTTTATGTTACAAAAGACTACAATTAAAATGAGGGTTTGTACGACGCCATAAATCCAGTACTGTAGATTTTATAGGAGCTCATTCGGTTGCATGAGAAGGTTGGTCTGAGTTTTTACTGCACCTTCAATCATCACTTAGTATCTTTTCGTAGAAATCAGTTTAGATTTCCTATTTCTGGTAACACCAGTCATGTTTCATAACTGTAAAACACTTTTCTCTCGAAATTACTCAAAGAAACCTACCGATAAAGCAGTACTAAGTTCACCTTAAAATAAAATTCTCCAGTTTTCTAGATTCACCTTCACTTGAAATGCTTTGCAAAACTTCACCGTGGTGCTTACTAAACGTCATCGATATAAACTGTGTCTGGTCTAGTCATATACTACTTACAATTTATGGACTCACTGATGGTATGGAATTGCTCTGTAGATGTTTGGTACTCACCTCATAACATCAATGTCAACACTTCAATTTGTTCTTCGTGAACTATCTGCAAGTCAAATTTATTTCACTCTTGTTTTACTCTTCAATCATCCATATTTCTTACTTATTCATTGCTCACCTACACAAGATTGGAGATATTTCCATACATCTACTACTTTCAACCTAATTACCATAGAAAGCGACTGTTTCATATGGGTATTGTTTTGACAAATACTATCTTCGAATTTCTCTTCCAAAGATACTAGGTTAGGCATAATCGTTTAGCCTTATAGCTAGAAAGTTATTCACTGACTTCATTATGTTGCCAGGACATGGAACCATATGTCAAGGTAATGATACAAAACTTGTCTTATATCCAGAGGTGTCATGGAAAATGAAGTACTTTGTTAAATTGCTGGTGTACAATTTCGCATACAGTGTTTTAAATCTTCCTTTAGATTGATTGGTTAGTATCCTATAATCATAAAAAATTGTTTACAGTCGTTTTTTTAATCATTTTGTGGTTGAATTATTTGAAGGGCAATCAGCAGAGAACAATCAAAACCAATTTTGTTTAAAATGTCGACAGGTCAATGGAGTTTGTTATCATTATCCTTCTCAGATAACTAACACAATGGCGATGAACCGCTATAGGCGTTATGAATATAAAAATCATGACCTAGTTCCATTTATCAGTCCAATAGATACATTATTTAAACAATTTCCAGAATATACCGAAAAGTAAGTGAATATTGATCATAACCTTTTTATCATTTTCATTTTCTTTATCCCATTAAACGTTTTACATACTATCTTGTCAATATGTTAAGCAACAAGCACTTAGCTGAAGTTATCTAGTTTTTTTATTACGAGTAAGTAATCAGATTATTTTCTGTTTATGAAATAATGAGGAGAAATTTGTTATAAAAGACTAACTGTCACTTGTACTAACTGAGCAAAGTTGCTCTGTAACCTTAAAGCTTTGCAAAATATAGACTTAAAAATGATTCACGAACGCAGATCAGGTTTTATGCGATGAAATTTTACTTGACTTATTTTTTAAGTTTTTTACATCTGAGATATGAATGATTATAAATCAGAGCCATATTGTTCTGGTAATGCCTAAAGATCGCATATACCGATTTTAAATAGCCGAGTCGGAAATCTCCTTAGTGACGTACCGTTAATGCACTAATTTGAGTTCACGGAAGAGGATCTACACTTGCTATACTAAATATACACTTAAATGGTGAATGAAAGCAAACATAAAACTTGGGTTTTATAAACTTCAGGATCAAAATTTGTGAGATAAATAGGCTGAACATTTGTTAGATTGATAATAAAGGAAATAAGTATCATTATAAAACCCCAATAAGCTAGAGAAATAAATTTGTGATTTTTCGTTACCTTGTGGGAGTCACCTCTTTAACAAAAAAGGCCTGTGCAAATTATCACGTATCTGCTTCACATCTTAGAAATGTAATCGTCAATTATTATTAAGGATAACAATGATGAGAGTTCAAATGAGATCACTTACTTTGATCGTACAATCTTCAACCTCAGTACATTTTGTGAAAATTTTACTTCAGTTAGCACCTTGCTCACTGAAAATTCTATGCACAAGGAGATGATTTACATGGTCGTTTCCAACATTCACCTTCTTACTTTACAAATACGCGAAACAGTAAATACTTATGAGGTAAGTGATGCAGAGATGCATCATTACATGAACATAGAAGAGTTTACAGTAAACAGTTCATACAAGATGACAATGTTATTATTTGTTATTTTTCCAATGTTCATGATACCTCTTAGCTTCATTTCAGCTTGTAAAATGTAGTGCTAAATTATGCACTACCGCCTAATCCCACTCAAACTGGCTGCCCAGTCAGAACTTTAATCATTACCTAGTATTAATACTAATCTGCCAAACCAAGACTATCTCATATGGTCAAAATGACGATCAATATGATGCTCTCCTTCTTCACTTTAGTAAGATCTGGATTGGAATGAAACATCCTGGCTGGGCAGCCAGTATGACTACGATCGAGCTGCAGTAACGCATCACGAATCTACATGTTAGTCAAGCAAATTCTTAATGATTAAATTGAAATAAAAATCTGCTCAGTGGTCGAACCTCGAAGCTCAGTTTGTACAGCAACAGGCTGCAAATTCGGTTGTCACTGGTTAGCATCCGGCTGCGGTCCAAATTTTCTATTCACCTTCAATCATCACCCAGTATAAAGGCTTACTAGCTCTCTCTCTCATGATATGGTATAAAATTCGTTTCACTTGCGTTTTACTTTGGTTGTAAGATTCGATAGTAAATGGCTGACTAACTACAATCTATTTTGCTTAAGAACTATTAAAACTGAAACCTAATTATTTCATTATTTAAGAGTTTGCCGGAATGAAATAGAAATTATGTACAGCTAATTCTAAGAAAATTGAAAAAGACTCAAAGTACATTGATGATTCGAATGGAAAAGGGATGAAACCTTCAACTAACGGTTTGGTCATTACTGGAAACTCCATGTCATTCATCATAAAACTGATCCAAAAAGCCAGCAATAGTCTGTCAAAATATCAAAACCTTTGATTTAGAATATTACAACAAGATAAGTCAGTTGATGGTATAACAGTCAGTTAGCTCTCCTAAAGCTTTTTTCTAATAAACACAGCCGTTCACATATGAGTAAACTATAAAGCATTCAAGGTGGTTTATCGGTCAACGATAAAAAGAGTGACGGCTACGCGCATTAAATTTGGAAAAATATTGGTAGTATAAATGACAGAACTAATGTTGAGGATGGCATCAAAATGTTGGCAGCTGTTCATGCACATAAAGAAAGTCGGAACATAGAGAAGCGCAATAAGGTTTAGCAACACTAAAGGATCGAGTCACTCATTAGGTCTTTCCTTGGTCAAGGAAGAAATAAGAGCAGCAGAAATCTCATTTGAATATAAAGTTTCAGACTGTTTCAGTAAACTCAACTCTGTGTAAAAGTTCCAACTCCATCGGAAAAGTTTAATAAGATGCGGTAAATCAGTCCTGACTTTTTCATTTTGCTCACTCTGTGACCACTTTCAACCAGATGCACTTGCCTTTCCCCCAACCAAGAATGTAAATGTTCCGTGTCATGTTGGTTGCTTCAGTATTACTGTCACCATTGAAGTAATTAAACTGATGAAAATACATAAGAGTGAGGAAACTCGATAACTTGTTTTTCGTTTGGCATAAAGTAGTTCATTGGCTAGAAAATGACAGAGAGAGAATAACTGCATAAAACGTTTTTGACTGTCGTCTATTTTCTGTGTTAAATCGTAGTTTTGTGAGTGGCACCTTCTTTCAAAAGTTCCCACCTCTAGGTTTCCATTTACTTTGTCATACACATTTCTCCAAGATGACGACTGTAGCCTGTTTCAGTATGCATTTTAACTCACTCTCTAACGTGTCGTCAGAGCGGATGTTCTTTGCGACGATTGTCAAACATTTCATTCGACTCTTTATGTACTGTATAGGCATGAAAATGAAGTATGTAGACTTATCAGAAATGCTTCTTGCGCACCGCATGCAGGGTCAACAATCTCATTCGCTTCAGAAAATACCAATGAAATACACCTTGTTGTTTTTCCCCACTAGAAAGTGTGCGGTGTTAAGGTCTTTTGGCAATTAGTTCTTATTCACATTGTTATCGGTGATAATTATTCCACAAACGTATCGAATATGCTTTTCTAACTTGCTGATGATATTTTTCAATGGTTCATTCTAGTGGTTGGGAAAGAAGCTTGTGGGCGATGGGACTAAAAGTGAACCCAGTACAATTCCATTCACTTGCTTATAATAAGCCAAGTCCATCAGAAATATTGAAAAATGTGAACACCAAGTGGTGCCTCAGAATCATCGAGAACGTCAACTTCCATTACCTGATAAATGAAAAAACATTGTTACAATCAAGAACCTCTTTAAGATGCACAAATTAGTCCGACAGTGATATCTGATACATAATCTTTGATTATTATTTGTAACCTTATGAAGTACACTTCGTTTGAACGTACGTTTACAACGGTCTTCAAAAGTCTCAGTTATTTGAGGAAAACACCAGCTCTTTTTGTTTCTTAATGTTTGAGAAAATACACATTCAGATGAGGAATGAACAAAACTTATAAGGGATTTTCAAATTATGTGAAAAAATCTCTCTTAAACTTGTCATTCATTTAGATACTTCATTTTGAAACGTATGCCTTCAATAATTAGCTTTAGTACAGTACGATGTTCGAGTGAAAAAACTGGCCATTTCTTAGGATATGCTCTGAATTGGAGAAGATGCAAATATTTCTGTGATTCATTGAAATCAGAACAAGTAGGGTTGCTTCGTTTCCCAAATATGTTTGTTTTATTCCTCTCTTCTTCTTGCTTTGGTTACACTCTACCTCATACAACTAACGTGAAAAAAGTTCCATTGCCTTTAACATACCATGTGTAAATAATGATTACTATTCTTGGTTTAGATTATAATAAGTAAAGGTTTTGTAGATGATCTCACTTTTCATTATGCTATACTTTAATCAAAGAGCTTAGGATAACCTCACTTAGTTGCCAATTTATGCTGATGTATTTCTTCACCGATATATTTTAGTGTAGAAAATTATGGATGTAGCTGTCCACATAATACTGGTATGTTGGCTTCAGTCCCGATTATGGATTCGATTAAGGCAAATCACAATCATTCAAAAAAGCATCATCGGCGAAACTTTAATCCTGAAGCGAATGTTGATATTAAAATGTCTGCGTTGTCACAACAGCAATCACAATCATTCCCACAATGGTATTTTTGCAAAGCTATGCTAGGTGAGTATGTCCAGCATTTAATTGGTATCATTTTCCATTCATCTCATTATTTTTTAACTTCCAAGCGATTCTCACCAGAGGTTAGTGACATTTAGTGAACAAAAATTAGTCCGGAGTAATATATTATCTAATGCATAGGTCTTCAGTTGTGTTATTGCAAAGGGTTGAATATACGCACACTTCCTTGATGGTCAAAACGGGAACTATAGTGACTGAAATGCACACATCTATTCACATCAGGGTCCAATGTTGCGTGCTGCTCGTTGGTACTGGAATATCTGACAAATGTTTAAATAAGTGAGAGATTCATGGATACTGATTTACTCGGTAGGGTGTTTATTACAGATTGTTACAACTTAAATAAACACTTTAAATCAAAGTGCACCGGAGAGATGCTCCAGGAATATATAGTCCGCTGCAGTAGAGGGTTTGGAACAGTCAATTATCATGACTACCATAATTTAACTTAGTCACTCACTTGAGATCAGGTAATTCTTGTCTTCAAACTCCTACCTATGAGCAGCGCATGATGACTGTCACTTAGTAACATCAATATGTATGTTCTTATATTGATAGTGGCTGAAGTAATAGTTTCCCATTAGAATTCAGGCAAATTTGTATCAAAATAATTCACTAGTGAGTAATAATGATTTCCACTCAATCAGAGTGTTTGTGAAAAGTTAAGTGTTCACTTATTGAGTATCCGAGATGAAAATGAAATGGGCGGCAAACATTCTGTTGTTTTAATGGCTCCATGCCGACTCAAAACTGCCCTGATATCAACTCGTTAAGCTTGCATTTCATCTTCATACCATAACCTCTTAGTAGCTTCTGCAGATAATATTCTCTGATCTAGATTTCAGCAACTACAGCAAACTCACAACAAGACAATTAATGGGCTTTCAAGACTCAATTAAATGAAAAATGTAGAAAAGTTTGACATTTATAAAGCTTACAGGTCTCATTCCAATTCTTTTAAAAGCTGTATTTGACTAGATAGCATTTGATAATCATATTCAGTCCAAATCACCTATGGCAGCCACATTATTATAGACAGTCTGGAATCTCATAGTTTTGAACCATTACTTCCAAGAGAACATGCGTTCTAAATTTTCACTTTAAATTATCATGTCTACCATCAATATGAACTTTAAACCCCCCCCCCGAAATATACTTTTGCAAATACCAGACGAAAATTCTGGAATAAAACACCATCTGCTCTTAGATGCTAAGTTCTGTGTAAAGAATACGATCATTTCACGGCTGCTGATAGTAGTGTGTTGGCCACTCAGTGTCTTTTAGCTAGAAAGCTACGTGATACAATTCCAGTTCGTACAATCTTTGAAACAGATGCTTAGATCAGTCAAAGTAGCTTTTGACGTCATGAAGCTCAATTTCCATATGCTATATATCCACGTTTTGGTCTTCCACTTCTCCTTTTAAATCTAAAACACCTTTAAGACAATAGGTAAGGTAAACAGGGAATTTGTAATGCATTTTTGATATGATTATAATTTCTTCGCGCATACTGTAGTGCTTGCTGGCTAACGTGAAGCAGCTGGTTAAAATCTGAGATTGTGCTGTAGCTGCCTTTACTTGCTACAAACAGTTCAGAAAAAAGTGTGAATTCGTCAAAAGTTGTACAAACACCTGAGGAACAAATCCTCTGAGAGGCGTATCACAACAATGTTAAACTCCAGTTAACTGCATCAAACAGTTATCAATAATAAGAAAGAACCTGAAAAAATGGGTGTATGAATGTTAAAAAGTAACACTGTGAATAACCAAAGAGTGACATATAGACATTCAACTGATTCTCTCGAAATAACTGTTTGTCAGTGCAAAAGAATCATTTTACAAGCAGGTTTGTTGATTTGTCTTTCAAAGGACTTACAAATTATTAGCAAGTATTTCAAGGTGTTTTAATAGTCATTTAGCAAGTAGACGATTTTTAGTTTATTGTTTTGAAAAAACCCAACAATCTTGAATGCTTGATGATAAACGGCTTACACTCTAAGTCATTTTCATGCGATTACGTCACTACCTGGTTTTCACTCACTACACACATTATTTACGAGGTCGACAAACTAACTTAAAATTCTCGTTTTCACTAAGTAACACAACAACAAGACTTTTAGGAATGGGAGAGGTAAATTTCCGTTTTCTTTCTTTCCTGAGTAAAGTATTATTTGTCCTCAGGCTTTTTTGAAAACTAAAAATTAATGAAACAGTAACAGACTGTAAATACCTCACTTTTGAGAATGTCTCCTTCCAAAGTGTAATGTATTCACTATTAGTCTTTTCAGTGTCGAATTGGTGTTTTTACATAAAAAGTAGGCATGTGTATTTTATAACTATTGAATTATCATGAAATTTAAACATTGGGTGTGTCACATACACATGTAAAATTATAATTACAAGGAGCTTATTTCACTCAGTAATGTAATCGCTCCCATAATTAGAGGCCTTTTATCTTGTACACAATCAACTTGAAGCGAACAGGTTTAAGAATACAACTGACTACATCTTTTTACAGACAATGACAATACACCTCCTATATACATCATCCTTGTTTACTATTGCAGTTTACCTAGTGACATAGGGTTTTAGAGTTGAGCATCCCATTTGCCCCGAACATTAGATTCTCTGTTGTTTCTTGGATGAATATTACATTTTACATTTTTGTTAAAGTAATAATAAAGTGGTTTCAGTAACTTGGCAGTAGTTTTGCAGCCTAATACTGATCAATACTAATGTATGATTCCAATGAACTTAGATCAAATGGAACAAAGCGTAAATCATTTTTCACATAAATTTGGATTTCACTTCACACATTTTAGTATTGCGGTGATTGGTTATATCTTCAGTAGCTTAGATGGTAAGTTTGAGCACACGCTGATAGGATAAGAGCTTCTAACCACCACGATATTATATAAATTCACACGAGCATTCAACATTCACCCTATCTAGATACACCGAACTTAACTAATAGAAAGTTGTACAATATCTTGTTACAATTTCACAAGATTTCACTTACGAATTCCACCTCATGAATTTGAAAAAACGAAGAACCACAGTTGCAGCATGAATCAACTAATCCAATTTATTTTGGTAGTGTCTTGTTAAAGACTTAGAACCAAGAATATAAAAATATATAGTTTTACTGAAGATTTAACATACTTCGGTTAATTCACTGAAAAAAACAGAACATTGGTCAGTGGTTGTGAGGCATAGGAATCGTCATAGACTAAAGGTCAATCACAGCGGCTAATTCAAGGAAGGTTAATAAGTGACATTAAATATAGATTGTACTTGTGTAAGTCACAGTGGGTTTGAAATCAAATAATTCCAAAGTTTCGCATGGAAGTCTGGTCCGAGCTTCTTCAAGGAAAAAAAGTTAACGAATTTTCACAGTTATGTGCGTAGTCCAGTAAGAGTTTCTAGAATAAAAGGGTGACTCTAAAGGCTACCCTAACAACTGATAAGAAAGCCAATGACATTCCTTTATTTTATGGAAAAGTGCTTTTTCAGATGAAACAGGGAAACCTGATTGGTCATCTCACCGATTGCTAGTGTGGCCTTTAAAGACACTCGAATGAAGATGACGATAAGAGCAGCAGTCAAATATTGAGGGACTTAAAATCATAAGATTAGGCAAGTATGTCATGCGATCAATAAGCGAAATATGCAAACTTTTGTGAGTTAAACTCGGTTAGTTAAAAACATTTCATATGACCAACAGCTGATGCAACTAAACAAGCATATAGTAGACATCTAAGTTTGATACAGCCGTGAAGGGTTACTGAGATAGACAGGTGCAGATTATAGTTTCTTTTCGAACCTATAATTCACATTTAAGGCTTTCAATAGCTATGGACTGGGTAAACTTCAGAAGAAACTGATATCTGCTTTATGTCTAGTACCATTCAGATGCCGAGTAACCGCGCTATTCAGAGTGTAATTCTTCTCCGCCGTAGGCTCTTCGAAATGTGCTCAGAGGATCGAAGATATGACTTTACGTCTGTTCTCCCAGTGAACCCGTTTCGGCAGTTACACGTAAATTGCAATACACAACTGAAAGTAACATAAAAAAGGTATCTGTCGTTGGTTTTATTCATGGACTTAATATATTTTTATTGTCTACTGAACATGTTCACCGCCAACTTGTCATTAAGCGCAGAAATAACATAACTTATTTAAGCTGCTTACGGACTTCTCAGGTTGAAATCTAATTACCTATGTTGATTCTTGGCAGTAAATCGTCACGTGTTTATTAGGTTAATTTAAATCATTTTAAGGTGCAGAGTATCAATTAATTTATAAATTCATCATTTTCAATTCTCTCAACTTGTCACCTCCATATTCCTCAATTTACAATAAATCATAACTATTTGGTCAGTAGAGATGTGTAAGTGTAATTTCTAAAATGGTTGTACAGATCAAATATATGAAAACACATTACATGAATTTCACATGTTCTGGTATTTTCTTTAAGAGTTTACTTTTCATTATGCAAAATATTTTCTAGTACTATACACGAACTTTTAACTTTTTAAATTTTTAGTTGATATATGGGAATACTGTAACCATATCGACTTACTCTGTCGAGCAAGGAATGCTCATTGTGTAAAAATGGAAGGAGGATCTGACCTTATTCGGTTTTCATGTCAGTGTATTTCTGGGTATATACCAGTGTACCAAAAACATTTGAATTATTATGAATGCTGTAAGTGACGTATACATTGTCAAATTGTGAGAAAATTTAAAACCGTTTCTGATGTATGACTTTTTGGATAGAAATATTTTCCCTAAATAACTTAATTTGTCAACTTACAGTTTTTGTCTTGGGAAAACACTTTTTGTGCCGAATGAACAATGATCAAGAGAAATCGTAATAAATACCAACTGTACACCACTTTGTGATAAATCTTTTTTATTTTAGCACTTAATGGTCAGGAATAAATCCACTTTTGGTGGTTTTTTTGCAGCTACAGGAACAGTGAAAAGTACAAAGAGGATACTTACAAACTCGGAAAGTGCTTTCATGAGTAAACAATCAAACAATAGCGAGTCGGATAGTTCTCAAAGTGAATATTATTGAAACATTCATCTCATTTAGGTAAATAGGAATAAATAAGACTTCAATAGTTAGTGTTATACAAGAATCATTACTCATATACGTTACCTTATAAATACGATCTATTGTAGGAATCGAGCAGAAAACAGTAACGACTGAAATAGACATTAATGCCCTCAAACTTCGAGAGTAGGGAAAATTGCAAGTGTGTACCTAAAGTTTTACTTTTCATAAGAGGAATTGTTTAAAACGCTGACTGTTTTATAAAGGGTCAGTTAGAATTTCAACTCCAGTGGCCTGTAGTTTTTAAGTATTTCTTCACAATTTTTTACTGAAAAGTAGTAGTGAGCTAGAAATTCAGACTGAAGACTGTCATTGATTGCATCAACTAAAAATATAAAGACACATTTCCTTGAAAATATAGCGAAAAACTCCTTGAATGAATTGGTGGACAAGTTTTCTTCAAAAATATGCTTAAATAAGGTTATTTCAAAGACTAACCATGTGCTCCTTCTCCGTAACTATCAACTAAAATCTGCAACCATGATGTAGCAATAAAACTTCTGTGTCATGATTACTCGAAGAGCTATTCTGCTACGAGGTCCAACAATGCTACAGAGGTCTGTGGGATAGTGGTAAGACAATAAGCAGCTACCACCGTAGTGTAAATGACTACGTTATGATAGTTGTCCAAGGTCGAAATTGTATTGCTAGTTAGACAGGAATGTAAATGATGCGAAGTGTTTTCCGTGAATAACCGGAAGTACTATGCCGATTATTATATCCTTGTGTGAAGAATGGTAAAAAGAGATCTTTCCCCAAAAAAACATACTATGCTCCATCCTACCATCATCTAGAACGGTATAAGTGAAATAAAACTTATTTATTTATCTTGTATGTAGAAATTTTACAGGTAGCTAGGTACTATCAACCACCAATACGCTTCCAGCAACATACAAAACCCAAAATGAAAACAAAGCTTACCTTCCCTACTTTTGCTTGCTACATTACCTGAACTTCCTTGTTAACAGCAGGTTATACATCAGAAAGAGAACTTTAGCGTATTCAAGTCGACAGCCACCTGGTTGGTTTCTGACTGATTGGTTCTGTTTCAATTGGAAAAGACCACAGAACTTACCAATTCCTATTACCATCCTCTGCCTAAGTGCTAAATAATTGTAGTTTGGATGGTCCAAAGAATGGGTTCCCCCAAAAATTGTTTTTCTACCTAAGTGAAACTTTTAAATGTTGTCATAATAGCAGACAACTTCAAAGCTCAAGTAGGATAGCTGAGCTAATCAAAGTGATATCTACGGTGTGCCGTATTCAGAAACCTGTCAATGGTGATTCCGTTGTGCAATTTGTTTTGGCAGTCACCAGTTTCTGGTTAGCCTTAATTTAAGTCTTAAAGACAGACGCTGTTAGAGAAGGAATGAAAAGTAAGGAGGACACTGGACAGCGGTTTCGTTCTTTTTACGGAACTCCTCAGCAGTTGACGCCTTGGCTTTAACCTAAACATTTGTTTGATAAGTTGACTAGAGTTAAGTTATATTGAAATCCGATTTTTTGATCTATGAAAGGACTCATTGAGAAGTAAGTACACACATGAAATAACCATTATAATAGAGACTGAATTAAATGTTTAAAAACGCGCAAGAAATGTCTTGATTCTTGGATACTGCTGGTAGGAAGTAATCAAATTTCTGTTTTTGACAAGGTGGTGATATACAAACTGTTTCCTTTTGTATTCTACTCATTTCAAGAACATACTAAAAATACTAGAGACTACACTTTAAACTATGGTTATATATATATAAATATATATATATATATATATGTACATAAATCCCTAGTCTAAACCAGGAGATAAGGCCAAACTTTTGGTTGCTTAGCCGTAAATTTTTGTATAAGTAAATAATGTTTTATGGGCAAGAAACTTATTGCATCGTAAAGAATGTCTTAGGAAAAGTTTTACGATTACTTTTTCAGTCAGGTGTTTTTTCCTAAAAATAAACATATCTGCTAGGAAGTAAAATTCATGGCACTACACTACATTTACTGGTCAAGTAAAACTTTACTACTTCCTTGTTTGGAGAAGATAACAATTGATTTAATATGAACACATAACCTTAGTGAATACGTTTATTCCATCAGATCATACACTGGCCTTTGCTAGATAATAAAACTAGCTTATGAATTTACGTGGTGGCCATTTTGCGTTTTATATAACTAAAAGACCTAAGATATTTTTTCATCCACCTATTTTGTATACTGAAATGAGAATTGGTATGAGCTGACGTTTTTTATGCCCTTCACTACCAATTTTAGTCCATCAGCTGGAAGAAAATCACTCCAATTGTGATTCGTGTATTCACTCAAACGGAAAATGTTATACAATGAATGAACAAAGTACAGATTCATCAATTGGATGCTTATGCCCGAATAATCTTCGATCAACGCTGACACAATCATCTTCACACATCAATATACTACACCATACAAACAATCAGAATGTTGATAATGGTGACAGGGGTGAAACTGGACAAAATACCTTCACAGCTTTATTACCACAAGTGGGTTTAGAATATGAAACTTGTGGAGAGAATTTAGGTAATCTACACTGTGTAAAAATAGAAGTCAGTTTATTTATTGTATTAAATTGGTTTTTTTTACATATTCTTGACTGGATTTAAACAATTTGTCTACTACCTCTTCTATGCCTTTTGTCCTCTTTACTAATTTCTGAGAACATTTTCTCGACTGTGGAACAGATTTCACAGTCAGTTAATCGAATATGACATTTATGATAGATAGCTTTTTATTTAGCCTGGGTTAATTCGATTTCTGCTTTTCGTCCGTATGCATAAATGTGTGTGTGTGTTGTCTTGGAAGGAAGACATCACGCTCACTCCACAACGATGTCAGGTTAATAATAGTATAAATCTGTAAACGATTAACTTCAAAACTGAGATTTAGCAAACACGGTAAAACATGATATGAAGCGGTTTTTAAAGAATGAGTGGATAAAATTTAACGAAAATAACTATTTGACTTTAATAAACCTATATCAATAAATAATATTTTTCAACGTAAACACCTAAAAACAATCCTTGTATGATATTGATGAAATGTAAAGGTGTACATCCTATGCTTCATTTACTGTTACTCTTATGGCACATCAATTGTAACTAACAAAATGCTGCATCATTTATGCAACATGTTAGCTTATTATTCCGGTCAACAAGAGTGATGTAAGTGGCACACAATTCAAAGAACATCACATATTGCTACTGGTTAGTTATTAGTTAGTTGAGAAATCTCAGTTTACACAGCTGAATGATGTAAGTCTAATTTGAATAAGTGAGAGTTCTGTGGCGGTTGACAATACCCTAGATCATTAATCTAAACGCATTCAGTAATGGAGAAGAAAGGTGAGATGATAGACGAATTCATCCATTCAGCCATGTTTTAAAACAAACAAAACCGGCTGCAAGGTTCCACTGAAAAAAATGACAGTGCGCTGAAACTTAAATAAGCTTACCCATTATTCACTTATAGTCCAGCAAAGTATCAGGTGTAGACAATAAAGTGTTTAACTAGCTACTTAGGATAAATGTCAGATAACTGCAAAATCAGAATGGAATTGAAACGTTAGATACTCTTAGTTATAAGCAAAACTAAATCACTGACAAAACGATCAAACGTTTTGTTCCATTCACCAGGAGAAAGCGTCACTTAACGATGACAGAACCTTGAAATTGATCTACTGTAGGCATGCTATCAGAGAAAACTCAACTTTCCCACACAGTTATTTAACATTGAAGGATTACTACAAACCACGGGAATCGGTAAAATCAGGCTTCAACTCATAGCATAAAGTAGTCAGTAGAATGAAAAGCAGTTTTGCACAACAACAAGAATATGGTTTTCCATTAGACCTATTCTTTAGTTTAGAGACTGTTTACCAGTCTTGTCACACTTTTGACCAACTTTTCTGCATATTATTAGGATCTTTTAAACAAGACTTTATGTGTGTTAAGAAAGCTCCTTAACTTTTATTTACACTACAGAATTTTTAAGTCATTTTAAATACTTCATTAGTGAATATGAGTCTGTTGATGAAAATCCTTGTTAAGGTGAGCATTTTCGGGGGGATTGGTACTTCACTGGTTATCAACTTTTGTACATTGGTAGTAAAATGAGGGCTACATACAAGAATGTAAATAAGTAGTATGTATCTAGCAACACTGAAGCTGATAATGATCATCTGGTAAGGAATCTATCACAAAAGATATGCAATACTGAATTAGTATATAAAGTATAAGAGCCTTGTGGAAGGTATTATTATTAATAAATAAATAACTGTCTGTTAGGCATAGTCTTTTAACCATTCTCAGTTATACCTTCTCAACAAACAATTCTCCTGCTTCTTTAGATTTCTCTTCAGTAGTAGGAGTATGCATTTGATAATGCTATATTTCTCCTCTATTGGAAATCATTTTTTGATTGACATTTCTTAATTTGCATAAATGAGTGTTGATGAAATGCTTTCCATAGGAGCGGTGAGTAAAATTTCCCCTTTGGTTAATATTTTCAAATAACTTGGTTTAGTATACAAAATATACACTATTCGAGTCGTTGTTGAATTAGCTGATCGAGCTTTTCTCCAGAGCTTTTGAGAACCCACTGGAATATTAATACTCGTACATATGAAAAATACATCCTTCCTCTCATGTAACTCTAAATGCGAAATAAAAGCTAAGTCGTTGATTAACATGCTATCTCCACATATGCAGCGTTAAAACAGAGCTTATACCAAAATCATTACATCCTATGCAACATTTACTCACCGCGTTTTTTAAATAAAAATCACTTTCATTTCCAAGATCTACGGGGAATTTATTGACTTCAGGTTGTTATCTATCCGGGACTGGGATCAGTTGGAGAAACATTTAGAACCTAGAAGCACTAAACAGGCTCTACTTGCTTATACAGAACTCTCCCAGAGTTCGCATACATGACCTTGCCAGCGGTCGAACCCAGGACCTTCAGGTTTCGCAACGTGCACCTTACAACGGAGCCATAAAGTCAAAACCCAACGCTTCACAGTTTTCTACCTCCGTCACTTCACAGTGTCCCCACAAACTTCCAGACTGAACAGCTATACAGTGGTCACTAGCGTCATGCTTCAAGGTAATATTTTCTGAAGTTTTCTGAAACCTTTGACCAGTGGCGCAAATCAAATCAGTTGTGAGGAAAACTACTCAGCGATCGCATTAGACGACGGTTGTGATGATTGTGAATCGGCAGAAAGAGGAAAATTTAGACAAACTGGGATCCATACAATAACTCAACGCTCAATACGCCCCCCAAAAGTCCAGACGGTCTTGAATTTGGCTTAAGGGATTGGGTGTATGAGTTCCAAGCTAGGAAGAAGCAACCGTTTAAGTTCTCGATGATTCTCCAAATGATATCAATCGATGAAGAATAGCAGCTTGAATGCTATTTGTTTCACCTTCAAATATTCTGTTGCAAAATTTAAGTTCGATAACTAATTAACCTATATAAAAATATGAGCCTTGTTTAGGAATGTCTTGCTAACACCAGTGATCAGCTAGCGTGCACTCATCAGAATCGAATGGTACATGAAACGTTTCTAGATTAACAACAGAGTAAAGAAAAAAACTGTACAATAAGAAACTGTCTGACAAGAAATAGTTATCAAATCTGAGTTTCCCAGCAGATAATATTCATTCACTTAAAGCAAAGATTACTGGCTTACTGGCTGTCTTACTAAGAACTTTGGCGTTCATCAAGTCTTAGTACATTTGGCTGAAGTAAAAAGTTAGTAATATGTTATTTTGACAGGTATAGCAAAATATAATGTGGTTTGGATTCTATTAGATTTTGATTTCGATTAACTGAGCCACGGTTTGGTAGATAAGTATTGATGCTGGGTGATGATAGAAGGTGAAATGAAAATTTGGACCGTGGCCGGATTCGAACCAGCAACTAATGGTTTTCCAGCCCAACACTATACCAACTAAGCTTGTTCAGAGTAATCAACTGCAATCAACTATCCAGTCGAACAGTAGAAGATTTCAAGATGGAAATTATTCCAACTAACACCTACGATTGTATAGAGAACTCAAAAGTCTTGAGGAATCTATTAGCTAGTTCAACTTATTGCCTAGCTCAGTTTGATTACATAAGCTTGTAGTCTCTACTAACTTTGGTAATCAGGTACCTAACATACTGAGGACCAACCTGACACTGGCAAATCAAAATACTGCGGAAATGAATGACATACTACAAAGCGTCATTTTACATTGAATGTAAATACTGGTTAGTTGTCTACATTAAACCTATCGTATTCGTGTTACTGTTTCGTCTTCTTGGCGAATTTCTTTCCACTTTCTTTTATCTCTATTATGCCTTCTGATGTCAGCGTTTCTGAACAAGTTTTGTTGGTTTTTCATTCTATTATTCAACAAATTATTCAATAAGAAGATTAGACAAAAAATGCTAGTTTACTCCATAAGGAGATAGAGCATCAATGTTTTTCGCTTGTTAGAAGAGACTCAGTATTTTGTTAGGGGAAATGGAGGATTATTATTATTGTTATCAAAAGAAAGAACCATTGTCTAGTTTTGTATGAAGGGTAACTGTTATGCCAAAGGAAATAAAACATTTGTAAGATGTGTGAGGTCCATCAATGTACAAGCAGTTTGTGATCGTAATCAACATAATAATCACCTAAATCATTACACAAAAGGAGCATTGAAGAGCGAAGATGTACGAACGCCATAACATTTAGTGTTCATCTTGTGCAGTGTGACGGAATGATTGCTCTATGTTATCGAAAGTGGCTCTTTATGTGTGAAACAGCTTTTTTGGCTCTAAGCAGGGCACAGAACGTGTATATTTTTGATTTGTGTGACAGACCATGAAATACATGGTATATGTTACTGCATAAAGAAAACTGTTTTGGTGAATCATCAATAAAAGGGATACGATGTTCAAAACAAAGACTGATCAAACCCCATTGTGTGTCATTTAAACTATTCAGCATTTGATAAAATATGGTCTTACATCAGCAAGCGGGTTAGTGAACGTGCTAAAATTATTATTTCAATTTTCTTTGATTTAGTCATTATTTACCTCATTGTCTTCTACTCTTTAAATTAGTGTGGCGATTCAAATTTGAAGCTTTTAGTGGAAATCTCAAATTTCTTGTTTTTAGCTGGTTGTCCATTGAATATTTTGGATAAAGTTAACCAGATCTGCTTCCAACGGTGCAATATTTCAATGACTTGAGAATCAAAACCCTAGTATCGTTTGTCTAAAAACTTTTCTCGAGCCTTCAGTAGCCAATTCATAGTTTTTTACTGACTGCTGTTTTTTTAATGTCAAGTATGTTACATGAATGTCAGAAAAAAACCAAATGCATAATGTTGAATGACAGATACCATTTAGGTTTTGAATGTAGTTGAATTGTAGGTAGTTGAACATAAACATTTCGAGATAATGTACATAATTTTTACTTGAATAGAGTTGCATAATCATCAAAACTTTGCGGAGGATTGAACTGTACAAAAGCCCCGTTATGTCCCACGAAGAAAAATAGATAGCTGATTTTTACTATTTTAACTATCCGAGATGGTTGTGGTTTGGTAGACTTGTACTGATCCTGGGTAATGACTGAAGGTAAGATGAAAATCTGGACTATTGTAGGATCCAATCCATTGACTTCCGGGTCAGTTGCCCTGTGCTTTACCAACTAAGCTACGAGGCCTGACTGCTGATTAGATTTTTGTTTTTGTCCAATCAGCAAACAGTCGGACAAAAGCCTTAGAGGCTGAAGTGAGGTAAACATCTGGTCAGTAGTTGAGTTTTGTGGCTAAGTTGGTCAAGCACCGAGCTGGAAACCCAATGGTTGCTGGTTCGGATTCAACCACGGCAGAAATTTAATTGCTGATTATGAATAACCTATAGGTATTTTCAGGAAACATGAACAACCTGAAGAACTCAAGGACAGATATCGATAAACTTTGACATAACTTGACTATCTGATTTCATGCAGAGGTAGCCTGATGTACGCGCTTTAACTGTCCGATCAAGATACAAGAAAATGTCTCTTGTAATATATTTAGTTGAAAGTTTTTTCGCTGTTTGCCATTATCAGTGATAATAAAAAAGAATGGAGTGTTCGTAAATATTCTAAACTATTCAAAGCAATAATAAGTAGGTAGAATAAAATGATTCCAGAACACTAATCAAAAAAATTTGTATACAAATATCAACTGTAAGCACTCTGAATAATTACACTATTGTTTATCACATATGTTTCATAGATATTTTCGCGAACAGATCCTCCAGTCATTGACATTCTGCATTCAAGTGTCATTGAATTTAGAAGGGATAAAAACGATAGGTTTATTAGAAGAGATTAATTAATCATACTTAAGTTATACAACTAGAATCTTTCAAATTACTTATTCCCATATGTAGTGCTGTGGCAGCTTCAAATGAAATGAAAATAAGTGAGATGAGGTTTTCTGTGACTTTTTATATAAATACAAACTGAATTACTGTATATTGCTCATTAGTGACATGCTTCGAGATGGCATTTCCCGAATTTCCAATAAAGTGTCATAACAGGTTGAACAAACCAAGTCGAACATGAGGAAAACCACCCAACGATGGCATTAGATGGTGATCGTACCGCATCGCAAATTGACAGAAAGAGAGAAAAAACCAATCACAGGAATCCAACGAGTACATGAGAACTGACTGTTCTACGTTTGATTCCAGGTAAGCTCATGGATGCTCACCACTCAGGAGTTGCAAGGTGGGAAGGAACAGCTGTCCAGTGCTCACAGGATTTCACCGGTTCTCTGAATGATTTCAGTCTGTGCTGAATACAAGCATAGTAAACTTTACTTAACAAATTTGTGATGGGACTCTCTTCATTATGATTATGAAACTTTTCAGTAACTTCGAAAGCTGATTCTTTAAATGACCAAATTAAGGATCCAAACGTTTTGAAATGGTAAATATATAAACACATTGAAAATACTGATTCATTAACCTGCCTCTTTTGCTGACCAATCTAATCGAATAAACACCTAACCTTTCAGTTATTTGTTATCATCAAAACAGATTTCCTAAATCAAAACCGGATCATATACTACACCTGGTGGCAAAAGATTTATATAACAAATGGGTAAACTGTCAGTGATTATTAGCAGTTGTGCAATTCAATATTCATTTGAAACACTAAAGTCGAAAGACCCAACTGCAACATTTTAATAATGATGTTTGTTTCACATTAATGACAGTAAGCTGTTATCAGTTACCACATTTTATCTAGTTAATGAATAAAAATTCTTTTGAGTGACCCAGCTTTGAAGAGCAAAGGCCGATGTAAACATCTGGTGCATTTTTCTTTTGTCTAAAAGATCACGAAAAAGTTGTTTAAATACAGAAAATCAATTTAAGCCTTTAATGAGGCTTTCATTAGTCTAATAGCGCTTGTAATACAGGTTAAAGCACTTGTTATTTAAAGTTCATTTTTGGAAAAGAACAAATCAAAAACTTAGGATATATTACAATGCTAACCATTATAACCACCATAAATTGACAGATGACGGCTTATTTAGTGACATTTATAGAATTCCACACTGAAAACAGCATTGGTGATTTGCTAAAGTTTGCCCTCGATGCTGTTGTACGCAACTGTCTTTTACTGTTTGGTTGTTAGATATTTCAAAATAACTCTTCTTTAAAGCTTGTCTTCGATTACTTCAAAAACCTACTCGCAAACTCAAGAAACCCAGGCTTTCAAAAGTATTAGTTGGATAATAATAAGCTTAAACCACAAACCTGAGTCACCGAGTCAATCAATCCAGGCCCGAACACTTCTGCAGCCAGAGAAATCTATGAATTCTAAGCTACTGCTGAGTTATGTTGATTGTATCTTGGATACAACTATGTAGCTAAGTAACTGTGAAGCAAGATACACTATCGAAACTTGATACCTGGAGTCTAAAGAATGTGCGAAAATGAATTTCTGAAAGTTAACTTGCATTTCTAGCTACAAGGTGCCAAAAGGGATGGAACTGGAGTTCAAACAAAACGAGATCGCTGTTCTTTAACAAAGTTTCTCAACCAAAATAATTAGTAATTAGACAGTTTTGTGACTATATTGCAAAGCTCATGATATCTAATAATCAAAATCATTGAGAATAACGAAGGTATTGAAAGTATAATACAGTACCTGGTTTCTGAAATCCTGTCTGATATGTTAGGCAGTTAAACATTTCGATAGTCTGATTAGTTGATGAAGTTTGTCTGAACAGTGTAATTTATTTGCGTAATACATTTTTAACAGTTTGATGCCATATTTACTAGTCAAACCAGTTTAAATAGAACCGAATAATGTGTGGCCAAATAAAACAGTTAAGGTAATAAAGGAGTAAAATTAAGTGACATAGTTGATCCTCATTTGATAAGAAAACTAAGTTTACCATGGTAGATGTAGTGCAAGAACAAATTGTTTTTAAACACACAAAGGTGTTTTCAGTTTGCACGTGGCTATTACTTCCGTTAATTTCAGTATGCTTCCCCGGCTGTTTCTATATAAAACCTTTCTATAATGTGTCGGGTTACGGAAAAGGAGGGCCGTCTTCCATTTGTGCTTATCAAGGCTATTTGTTTTTGAACTTATAGTTACATGTTCTTCCACCATAAACTGCCTTGCTCGAGTACTGCTCTCCATGTATGTGTGACCCCAGACACATGTAAACTGGTAAATATACTAGGATGTGACATAACTATTTATGCATTGTTAAGATTTGTAATGAAACATGCGTTTTGTCTTTTCCACAGCGATGAGCTTAACCTCATGATATATTTTACAAGTGACTAATGTCACCTCATTTCAAAAACTCTCTGGAGGGTAGACTGACATGGACACTTATTAAGAACCGTATATTAAGTTGACTCATTCAACGGCTTATGAACTTCAGCGGACATTCGTTATGCATTAGTGTTTTGACCATCTTCATCCATCGCATCTAATGAACAGGTACGATAGATCCTATTACACAGGCATTTTGTTGGACCTCACTTGTGTTCGATCGGACAAAACTGTAAAAGTTCAGTATTGTCTTGTCACTGTAAGACTTTTGTAGACTGCAATATTATTGAACCATCTTCTCTTCGACCCAAGAGTACATCTACGAAGGATAGATAATTATTACAAATCAAAATGTTATATCTCATTTTGAATAAGGAATAAAAGCGTTATAGGAAGAAAGAATCGACTGAATGTGGGGATGAGATTTATCTATTGACTTTCCCAAGCAGTAGTTTGAGATATGTGAAGGCACTGAAAGGAATATTCGGAACATGCATGAACTTCCTCAACAATTACCAAACACAGACAGAAGCGTATTTTATGCCATCGTTTTTAAATTGTATGCCTAAGGGGGTGGCTGACATTATGAACCAGATCCTGTTAGTTTTTAACTTGACAGAAAACTGTTAATTGATTCGCTTCCTCTTGTTTAATAAAAAGCTTATTTCGTATATAGTTACTACTGAGTTTAATTTGCATATTCTAGTCACCATAAAAACAATGGTGCATCATTTTTTTTAATCTGCATTTCAATGAATTCTCAACTCTATCGAATATTCCTGGACAAGATTTTAATCTCTACATAATTTCTGTAGAAATCCATGGGGTTTTTGCATTTTAATAGTCGTACGTTTGTCAATGGTTGAAATACCTAACTTATCTCAGGGTAAAATGGATAGGGATGTACTTTATTTTCCTGATAAATTAACACAAACCAGACAACCAAGTTCTTTTCCAATGAATTCTCATGCTTCACTAAATTGTTGATTTCTTATGGTATTTAACCTAATCTAGTGTAATGAAAATATTTATTCACCCATGAAACTAGTTCTAATGCTTCTTAAAATGATAGTATTTTATTGTTTTAATCATTCTAGTGCACGTTTTCTGTCAACGACATCTATTAGAAATTTGTTTTCTACCTATTAGCCGAGCACCATATCAAAATTTAGCAGAAAATTTACAATTACGTCGATCTGTTGCATTTATTACAAATTTAACATTTCATCAAAAAATTATTGACACTTGTACATTGGATTCAAGAAATAATGCTTTACAGAAAAAACAACTGAATCGTACAGTGATAAATCAAGTCAAGATAGATCCACATCAAGTATGGTGTAGAACTGTTGACTGGCGTCAAGATTCCTCATCTATTCCATGTGGTCTAAGCATCACTGAATACATGGTAGGTAATAATGATGATAGAAATATTTCAGATTATTGTTCATTGATCCTTGAAATAAGCAGTTGCTATATATGGTTAAATTATTCCACTCTGTTGGCAGACGTGCTCTTTATGCGTACGACTGGATACTGAAGTATATTCATGAGGCTGCCTTCGTCTAACAGTGGAATCCAAGACATGCGTTTGTTCCTATTTGGGGCTTGCCAGCTGGATGGAACTACACCCTAGTGAGTGACTTCGATCTCGATGAGACTTAAAACTAGTACTTATCGTTTCAAACGCCGAAGCGTTGTCCACTAGACCACTGGGGCATAGAAACTATACCCTATCCTTTAGATCATCTACGTACTTTTTCAGTGTTCAACCTCCCATTGTGGAGATTTGAAATGTTTTAGTCTCTAAATCTATGACCAATATTTCCTAAATTCGCTAAATTACAAAACCTTTGAATTCACTATTTTCTTGAAAGTTACATATCAACAAATAAAAATGATGTGACCATTAAAAGAGTAAATATAATTAAACAATTTAATTTAGTAGATGAAATTCAGAATTAAACGTTGATTGACTTAACTAATTTGCATAGTTAATAGATCAGTGCTCGAAAGGTGTTCTTTTCTGTGATTGCAGTGAGAATACTGACTTTGCGGGAGTGGAATATATGAAAACGACACTTCCGATTCATTTATGATAATTTTTCGCAAAGACGCATTCCATCAATCCTTAAACATTGTAAGTGAACAAAAGAGCCAAGACTAGGTAGTAAAGGCTATCTGATCTACTCAGTATGATTGCTCATTTGGATGGTAAATTATTCGATAAAGAAATATCAGTCAGCTATGACCGATTTCTTAGTAACAGCCAAGCTGAACATTCAGTGGTTCAGATGCTGCCAGGAAATAACAACTCTGTGGGTTTCATAAATGAGCTGACAGGTTGCTGACCCAGTAATATAACAGATACATGTTCGAATAATGCTGTAGCCAAAATATATTCGGTAGACTTTATTGAACGCAAATTTTTCTGTCACCAAATCAATGAATAAACATCATCCCAATCTTCAACAGATAGACCGTAAACTGGTTAAAGCATACAATCAAGTCAGGTTGGCTACATTCAGTGAATCTAAAATGACTCAAGTGTAAAGGTTCAGCAAATTAATGAGAGAAAAATACCCACAAAGAAGAACGGAGTTAAGAATAAGACATCTTCAGCTGCCAGTAAAGTGAAATGTGTGGTCAATAACCTGATTAAAGAATTAAACTCGACTCTGGTCAACTCTGCGGTAGTTTAACCCAAACCTGAAGATGTTACACTTAGCATAAAAGTAGTATTCAGCATTATAGACGCGGCAATTGTTGATCAGGTTCTTGCATTACGTTTATTAAAACTACAGCACCAAGATAAGATAAAACCTAATGAAATAAAAATAAGGCGTTAAAAGGGTAGCAAATCATCAGAGAATGGCAACTGCTTAATCTTATGTACCTATGTATTAGAAAGTCAATGAATATATCGAAACAAAACCACCCCAGGAAACTTCGAAACTTGTAGATATAGTTCGAAACAAGATTAAGGAAGCCACAAGTGATCTAATACACTGAATGAAGACTATTCTGGATAAGTATCACTCGCTAAACTTAATGTCTGGAAGTAATAGTTAGTTCCGGTAAAATAAATGGTATCATTAGGATTCACAGACCAGGTTTTGTAGTAGGTTGTCAGTAGACTTCAGGGACAAACCAGTGTATGAGTTCTCTAAATAGTGACCTAACACACTGCCCCCCTATGAATCTCTCAAAATCTAGATAAAAATAGAAAAAATTAATTCATTTTTCATTTTAAACACTCATAATTTTCATCTGGTTCTTTTTACTTTGCATTAAATAAGGCTTCATGGCATATATTTGAAGTCCTGAGGTTATACTTCATTTGTAGTTGAAACAACTGCCTGAATATAAATCATCGACTCAAACATTTGGTTGGTGAAATGAATTCAGCTGTGTGTTTGTATTTTTCCTCCTTTGGAATGTTTTAGTATTAATCTATTCTTTTTATGAAATCGACAATAACACCCATCTTGTCAACATCCAGATATCTACCTGCTACTCATTAATATGCTTAATTTGGTAGAGGAGATGAGCATATGCATTTTAGTTTCCAGATAATGTAAAAGTCGTTGAGAGCTTGTTGTGCTATTATATTCGGTCAGGTAAAGTTGAATGTAATCTGCGGATATTTCTTGAAGTAGTTTTCTTCATTACTGTAATCGCAGCAGTGGTATGCTCACAGTTTTCGGTAAGCTGCATTTGGTAGTCTCAGACACCTTATTTCTTAAAAAAGTTGTGATCGGTCACACTAACTGGCAAGTAATATGAGTGTATTTATGTTTATCTAAAAACAATCAATATTAACTCAAAATTTAGAAAAAATATCAGAAAGTCTTGGACCTATCTCCACTCAAGTTGAATAACTATTCATATGCTAAACTTGCTCAACTATTTTCGATAAACATTGAAGCCTAGTATGTGATTGTTCACTTTTTCTGGCTCAGAATATTACTATCTAGATTTTCAACGTAACCTTAATCTTTTAGAGTGGACACCTGTACACTGGATATCTCGCTGTCGTTACCAACCAGGAGCACCGTAACCAAGAATCAGACCTTCTATTCCAATTCACCTGTAAGACAAACAATGATGTACCACACAGGGTTCCTGGACAAGTTTTCCAACGGTAGGTAGTTTACGTGAACTTCATAAATTTATATCTGTCAGTATCCCCAAAGAGTATATTAGTTTATAAACTATGTTTTGTGTAGTTCGTTTCCTGTTTTAGGCTTCGGTTTCAAGCAAAGTACAGGATTTATTTATATCTTTGAGTTTTCTACCAGTTATTTATTCAGTGAAGAAATTTTTTCCCTATGGATCATCAATGATTTCTGGTAGGATTATAATAAATAAGCAAATAGTAAGCAAAGAAATGAATAAAACGGCTTAAGGAGATTACGAACAAGGTAAAATTAGCGACTGAATATATTTTTTTTGAACACAAAATTGAGGCTTCTAACTCTGGATTGCTAAGACTTCTGTTGTGTTTAGGTTACGAATATGCATGACCTTCAAAATGTTTGTTCTCACTTTATAAATCAGTTTAAAAATGATTCGAGTGGAGCAAATTTATCAGAGCTGAGCAAGTGCTCAATATTCGAGCTGCTGATAGCTTTATACTCTCCTTCAGACAGAAAGGCAGGATAGTGTTCGAAGTTGCGTTTGAATAGAATACGCTTCTTGTGCCGTATGTAACCAACATTGAAAAAGCAGGTGAGTTAGTAAACCCACAGTTTGGTGGCTCAAAGTGATAGTTTATGCTGTACACACTCTCAAATCAGTTGCTCACTGGAAAAAGCAATCAGAACCTGGGCAGAAAAGAAGGTCTTCTTCAGAACTTTACACAATCGATTCTTCAGTATCTCTGCCATTGTGTCTACCTTGAATTCAATATACATAAATATTTTTTTCTTTGGGACCGTAGGAGTTTCTCTAAAATGCTTGAGCTTCATGATCTGCTCGATGAATCTTGAATGATAACCACTCTCGATGAACGTTCTTTGAAGTACTTCCGACTACTCATTTCCTGCATCATCCATGCAATTTCTTTTAATTCTTGTGCTTATTGGATGAATTAGATTTACTTATTTGCCATATGAAACAATAAGAATACTGAAATATGCATAAGAAATATGTGAAATATCAGGAAACAAATTAGCAAATAGTATCTTGAGAGGAAGAGTATGGTTAAAATTACAGCCGAAAAATAGACTGAAACTTTAATTCGACTTATGATAAAGTCTGCTCTTAGAAAGCATAAATTACTAACCCCACTTTGTACATTTCACTGCGAAAACAAGCTCAACACTGAATGTTTAAAAATCAGTTCTTTTCAATATACGATTTCAGCTTAATGATACACAGAATAATAATATAATCCTAGAAATTAAAATAAAAGGCAGCTCAACTTTGTTCGCCTGACATCTGAAACAAAAAATGGGAGTACTATTGAAAAAGAATATTTTAAACTAGTTTATTACATATTTGCCATAGTGTAAGAGACGATTCCTTGTTTCAATAACTAAATAACCAGTTAGACGATAACTAAAAGTTTAAGTATGTAAAATCTACGTACACCCTGGCTGTATGTAATCTATCCTGTTTTCGTTCAGGAATTAATTTTATGAAAGAGTAATAAATAATGTAATGCTAGGTAACGAACTAAAATTGAAGTTGACAACAAGTACTCGATAACCAAAGCGGTATGAAGGAGATTTTTAAACTAATAGTACTTCTTAAAGAGTAGAAACTCTTCACAGGACAGTCAATTGGTATTTTTAAAAATGGAGATGATGTTTCACACCAGTAAGCAGATATTGGAAAAACTTGTTCTTTAATGTCTAGAGTCAATTTAACGTTCTTTACCATTGGGTGACTGGATTAGAATTTTTTTCCTAAAACAGTTTACTACACATAAATATCGGCCACTAATGAAGATTATTTGTCAACAATCAGCAGAGCAGCGAGCACTTACTTCATTGCCATCATGCAACTGATCTCTTTAAATGATGGAATTGTTATTAATTCGATGGCAACATTTATATTCGTGTCCTAATTTCCAGAACAAGCAAAGAGGTGTTTTTCAAAGAAAGTAGATGGTGAATGTTGACTGCAAATAGACCCAGCCTCTTACAAGTTGGTCAAGTATCCATCAACAATTCAAAAAATAGGGGGATTTAAGATATCAAAAGTTTCATTGCATTATGTGAGCTATCAGTGATTTTTCAATGCAAGGAGAGTAAACCAGTACAATAATTTGTCTTATGTTTTAAAGGGATTATAGCTTTATGACCATTTCTGTTTGTTGTTTCTTGGAGGACTGAAATATGTACAAGTATGTAGTGACTCTTCCTTCATTTGCACTGGTTTTGTTCTATCTCTTGTAAGTTTATTGCTTTAAAGTTCCATCAGAAAAAAACTTTTATAAACCGACTTAATCAGTTTATAAATAATTCTAGTTTTGAGTAGTTAAGCGGAAGGTAGTTATTTGAGATAACATAATTCACTGAATTTACTGTATGAAATGTACACATGAGTTATCTCGTGAAAATAGTATAGAACAATCAGCATACGTGCATTTATCCCCTCTGGCATACGTTGGCCTTTAGTCATTCCTGTTTTCATCCCAGAACTGATGAGATTATAAAACGACAAACGATATCTGTGTTTTATCTATTGAATATAAAAAGCTTAATTTCATAACCCAAACTAACTCTTATGCATATTTTCCCTTTTTGCATAAACACTATGGATGTATTATCAGTATAGACAGTCAAATTTGATGAACACTAAGCACAATGACATTATCTAAAAGTTCCTAACTTCAAAAATTGAAAACATCAGGTGAAAAATAAGAATTTTATCTCCAATCAACACTGATACTGAGTGTAAAGGGGTTGGGTGTTATAAGTTCACTGTGAACCTGATAGGAATCGACGGAATAAAAAACGATACAAGGTCGTTTTACTAACGTTCTTTTACACAGTGCTAATAGCTTTCTAAGTTATAATCATATATGATAATTTAGTCACGGTTCAAAAAGTCATGAAAACATTTCAGTCATAACTCTAGGTACTATAAGAGTCAGTTCATAGCGTAGACTTTGACGTTGATAAAACTATTCAAAAAGGCTTAAGCATTTAAGTGACGTCCCATTGAGGAGTCTCACCCTCTCTTCAAATAAAGTGGAATAAAAAGGTTTAAGTAGAAACGACAAAATAAAACACAGCTTCAGCCGGTTTCGCCGTACTTCTAAATGCTAAGATAAGAAAAATAAGCGTATATGATAAGCAATCTTATTAGTGATGAACAATGGCTGGCAGTCTAATCTAGGAGACGCGTTTCGTCTAATTTCGGACTCGTCGGCTGGATATAGCTGCACCCCAGTGAGTGTTGTTCCCCTGAAACTCTAATTCAGTATTCAACGCTTCAAAAGTCGAAGTAACGTGAGATTACACGTATCGCACAACAAGTGATACTCACTACACAACAGATGGCCCTCGTCCCTCAGTAGCTTGGTGAACAGCACGGTTTTTTAAAGCGATGGGTGCTGGATTCTAGTTTCAGAGGGAACAACATCATTCGCTGGAGTGCAGATTCACCCAACTGATGAGTGAGTCCCAAATAGGACGAAACGCACCTCCTGGATTTCATGGCTAGTCGCCAAGGTGAATGCAACCTCATTTTTAATTTGCACAACTGTCACACTTAACACACTGCAGGTGCTGGTTATGATTTTCAACCACATGTCAAGGCAAAACTGTCTACGCACAAGAGCTTTGACCCAGTTACCAAATATAAGCCTGAATATTGTAAATTCTGGTTTACCATGGCAAATCTACTAGCATTAATGTCAGTAAAAAACTTTGTATTGTTTTCATTCATTAAAAAATCAGAATATCAAAATAGAGAATATCACTTACTTCGCGCAAAAAGCTGTTTGAAATGTTAAACCTCAACTTGCTTCAGATATTTATAAGTTCTTAAAAAGCTTATGATCAGGCATTTTCTCCGATCTGCTATTTCAGGTAGGCTGTATCTCTGATCTGCAGGGAACAAGTCTACTCTTATTTATTTTAAAGTTACAAAATTAACTGCATTGTAGCTTAGAAACTCAGGTACTGGCCTAACCACATAACCAACTAGTTTTGCAGAAAGGCTGGATGGTTAGCAACAAATAGAATAAGCAGTTCATTATTGGTGATTGAATTCAGTATCTCATGAATTGTTTGTAGACATGCACTGAGTTGTGAATTCTGTTTTATGTTTTCATAAGTTATTTTAATTGGAACTTCATTTCTTAGGAAAACTGAGAAGTGAAATTTTGAACAGAACGTTGTAAAAATTGATGGTGACGATGCCATTTGTGGTATACAAACTAGAAAATTATCACAGTTCATGGCAGATTTATTTTACACTAAGCGAGTACCGTTTCACTTTGATACTTCTATTCAATCACATTTCTACTACAGGTATACTGGTCTAAATTTTTGTTTTAAGTGTTTCGTATGGTCTTAGGTCCATACTGCTGCATTGTTTCAAACTAAGAAGGAAAAATTACCCAGTGCATCCAGGATTTCATTGAATATTCAACTGATATCAATCCCCTTTGAAAACTGCGATGACAAGATTGATTCCCAGTTAACATATTACATTTCTTATAAATGCCTTAAAATAATACTTTTAAACCTATGAACAGTTTCATTTATGTTGATAATTTGATGAAATCTGCCAGGAAAATATTCTTTTTTAAAACAATGATCTGAGGTCTGATAGTAACTTTTATCCATGGCTAAACGCTACAGCCGATTACTCTTATTTAGAAGTCAGACGACCCTACTTTTTGTCTAGGACACCAATCTGACTATTATTCGGTAGTTATAAGTATGGTTGAGAAGGAAGGAAGTAACTCACCGAGGCACTTTTGTGTACAATCACAGTGAATAGCAATTCAGTCATTGTATAGTCTCAAAGCGGCTTGAAACTCTTTTCGATCTCATTTCTGTTGAACATTGAATTCAAGTTCATTTGAGTAGTTCAACGAGTCCAAAAAATGTGGATCATGTTAAATGGCTTATATATATGCAAGTTCACATGTGTCCATACGTGAAATTCCGTTCCAAAGCC